CAGATGCACTGGCAACGCCTGGTGCCGTGTTGGCCTGCACTGGCAGCGCCCACGTGATGACCATGCGGCCGACGCGGGCCCATGTGAAACTGACGGCGCCGCCAGGTCGGAGTTGGCAGCGCCTGGCTCGCCCGCGCGCGCCGGGGAAGGCTGCCGCTGAGCAGCCTCCCGCAGCTTGCAATCCTCGCGCGCGTCTTTGACTGCGCGCCGCTGCGTCGGCGCCGCCGGCTTCCTGGTGGGGACTCCAAGACTGGCAGCGTACTTCATGAGCTCCGCCTTCTTCATGTCATCCACGCGGCCCCCCATCTCGTGGATAGCCCGGCCGCAGAAATGCGCGAGGAGGGCGCCCTGGGGGGGGTAGCGCGACCGCAGTGGGCGCCTTGAGCCGGAGGAGGAGGACAGCGAGGGGCAGGAGAAGGAGGAGGAGGAAGAGGCGGAGGAGGAGGAGAAGAAGGAGGAGGAGGAGGGGGACGAGGCGGATGAAGATGAAGACGGTCATGATGATGATGGCGATGGTGGTGATGACGATGGGGAGATGCTGATAAATGCAAATTCACACAAGCAGGGGAACTGGAAGGACGGCGTGGCCAATAAACGACGGCATTTACTTGTCCTCTGACGACTAAGTGGTCCAAGAACGGCACCCCCCGCCCATGCTACCAAATGAAAGTGGCATCCTCTGAGGGGGGGAGAGGGGGGGGGGGGAGATGAATGTCAAACGAGCCTTCGTCCTAGCAAAAAGGCGACGAGCTGACCGACTTGCGTCGCATGGCCTGAGCCCTTGAGCCGAACTAAAGATCTAAGTAATTAGGTTGGGCTTTTTTTTTCTAAAAACAAAAAGAAGAAAGGAAGGAAGGCTACGAGGAGGAGAAGCAAGAGAAGGTGCCCCACGATGAGCAACCATGATGGTGTCCCATGAGGAGCAACCATGATGAGCAACCATGATGAGCAACCGGCGGGGCAACGATGAGCAACCGTGATGAGCAACCATGATGGGCAACCATGATGGGCAACTGGCGGGACAACGATGAGCAACCATGATGAGCAACCGGCGGGACAATGATGAGCAACCACGATGAGCAACCATGATGAGCAACCGGCAGGGCAATGACGAGCAACCATGATGAGCAACCGGCGGGACAATGATGAGCAACCATGATGAGCAACCGGTGGGGCAATGATGAGCAACCATGATGAGCAACCATGATGAGCAACCATGATGAGCAACCGGCGGGCAAACGACGGGACAACGTGGGCTACCGCTTGACAAGGCCGGGGGGGGGGGCATCTGTGTTGGCGGACCCCTAGCGACAGCAGAATGAATTCCTCTCGCTGGCCCACGCAGCTTCGCCTCGCCCGCGCGCGCGGCACGAGCGCGAACTCGAATCTCGATTTCCCGGCGGGGGGGCCCCGTTGCACTGCGACCTCGCCCCCCGACTTCGGGTGCTTTGGTCTTCGATCGTAGACGTCGAGTTGAACTATTATCCGGCCCGTTCTTCGTTTCGCTGCCTGCTGCCTCCTTGGAACCTGTAGACCTGGCGAACGTGGCCATCGCAAGATGCTGCCGGCCTCCTCGAGAACGACGTGCGCGCTGTAGATGTATTTTCATTTATTGACGGACAGCGACGTGATGGGCGATGCATCGGCCCTTCGGTTGGTTCGAGCGCCCCCCCGAACAGACGTCGAGGCCACATGTGCCTATATAGTCGCCGCTAGATCTCGTTCCATCTTCGCGCATTGAAGGGCTACCTGGCAATGTCGACGGGAAGCTTTGATGCCCAAGCGAATATGTGCAGCGTTATTATCCGCGGACCTCGGGCGCAGGGCTGCGCGCGCCGCGCCGCAGATCGGCGCGCGCGCTCAAGCGAGGGCGCGGCCCTGCGTCAATCGGCCCGCCGCCCCAGGGCGCGCGCAGCGTCCGCCCATGGAGCGCCCGCCAGGCCGGATTGGTGAAATGAGAGATTTCGTTGTTTTGGGCGGGCCAAAACGCAACATGTTTCATTTCGCTGGTCGCGGGTCTGGATTGCGCCCCTCTCCGGAGCGGATGCGAGTGGTTTCTGGCGGGAGTCTGTGGGGGGCTCGCTCTAGGGTGTATCGGGCCTCTCGTTGGGCCTGTCGCGCTCTTCCTCGGCTTCTTCTTTTGGCTCTCCCAAGGCCCCCCTGGAGCTGCTGGGCCCACTTGCGTCAGTTTGGAAGCTCGTGGAGATGTCTCGGCGACGCATTGGGGATCTGGGCTTCACCAGACGCCCAGGGTCCTTTCCCGGCGCATTCGGGCCGACGTCGAAACCCCCGCGGTCTCCCGCCGCCCAGGGAACGCCATGGGAACATTGAGGGTTTCCTTCGGGCGGCGGGCCTTGGTGTCCAAATGTCGCGCGGCGCCGTGCTGGGCGCTCCTTCGAATCGCAAGCTCGGTCGATTCGCGCTTTCGGCGTCGCGTGGCGCAGATGTGGGCTTCGTCGCGATCACTGATGATTTAGGCATGAGGGCCAACAAATCAAAATCTACAGGCCCACCATCTTGGACACGTGGAGACACGTGCCCTGCGCGGACGCGCCAGGCGCATGTTGCACCCCCCCTTTCCACGCATGCACTGTCACGTGTAAGCGACCGCCGGCTCGAAAGTGGGCCCCGCCCTGGGCGCGGTGGACACGTGAAAGCACGTGCCCCGCGCGCTCGCGCCAGGCGCGTGCTGGGCCCCCCCCCTCCTCGCCGAGGCGCATGTTGGGTCCCGCCCGCCAGCGCAAGATAACCCGAGGCCAGAACCCTGTACCAGGAAAACCGGCCCCAATGAAGGGGTCTAGACCTCCATGGGTCCATATTGCGAACCTGAGGAACCCACGAACCCAATGGGGAATTTCAATCACATGTTTTCTTGACATGCGTGCTACATGTGTCCTGCTCTTTTGGATTGCCACCACTACCTCCTGCCATTCTCCTCCTCCTCCTCCGACAAGAAGTTGGGTTCCCCCTGGGGCCCGTGGACACGTGGAAACGTGGCCCGCGCCCACGTGCCAGGCGCATGTTGGATCCCCCCTCTCCGACCATGCAGTCTTACGTGTAAAAAAGCCGCCGACCAGAAGTTGGGCCCACCCCTGGGTGCCGAGGACACGTGGAAACAGCGGCCCCGCGCGCGCGCTCCAGGCGCATGTTGGGCCCACCCCCTCCTCGCAAGCATTTGTACGTGTGAAGAATCCGCCGGCTAGAAATTGCCCCCCTTCTCCCCTCCCCCCAGGGGGCCGTGGATACGTGAGAGCGCGTGCCCCGCGCGCGCGTGCCAGGCACGCGTTGTCCCCCCCCCCCCCCCCCCTTTGCGAAAGTATTGATACGTGTGGAAAATCCTCCGACCAGACGTTGGGACCCTTTTGGGGGCCGTGGATACGTGAAAGCGCGTGCCCCGCGCGCACGCGCCAGGGGCGCATGTTGAGTTCACCCTCTCCGCGCACGTATTTTCACGTGTGAAGAATCCGCCGACCAAAGGGTGGGCCCCCCCTTGGGGGCCGTGGACACGCGAAATCGCGTACCCCGCGCACGCGCGCCAGGAGCATGTTGGATCTTTCCCCCTCCGACCATCCGACCACGCAATCTTACGTGCAAAAAAGCCGCCGACCAGAAGTTGGGTCCACCCCTGGGCGCCGTGGACACGTGGAAACAATGGCCCCGCGCGCACGCGCCAGGCGCATGTTGCGCCCCCCGTCTCCGCTCAAGCATTTGCACGTGTAATGAATCCGCCGACCAGAAGTTGGGCCCCCCCATGTGGGCCGTGGACACGTGAAAACACGTGCCCCGAGCGCACCCGCCAGGCGCATGTTGCCCCCCCCCTTGGGCACGTATTTGTGAGGACTCCACTGACCACAAGTTGGGTACACCCTGGGGGTCACTTGTGGCAAGAAACGTAAGAAAACATGTGCTAAACGCACGCCGACACGCATGTTGGAGACCCCCTCCCCCTCCGCACACGTATTTCCACGTGTCAAATTCGAACGCTTGCTGCTCGACGCCCTGGGGTTACAGGGCCACAGGCTCGCCAACGCAGAGAACCCTTTGCTGGAGCCCTTGCCCGAAAGAAAACGCGACGTGGGGGGGTCAGGGCTGAACGCCGTCATGGGCCCAGAATCGGCCGATATGGATCGATCTGGCAATCGGAAATTCACATGGTGTCAAAGACCAGCGCCAGGGTCGTCACTGCGAGAACCTGTCGCAGAGAGGGGTCGACGCTTACTGGGGTCAGCCAGCCTCATCTGGCCTTGGCCCCCGGGTGACCCGGGTTCTCGTGCGACCCAGTTGGCTTGGATGACCCGGGTTCCCTTGTCACACCGTTGAGGGGAACAATTACCGAACATTCTTTTTCGCCCTCAAACTAAAAGTTGGCACGCGTGGGGGAGACTGCGGTCGAAGTGCAAATCATCAGACCCACCGCCAATTTCGACCATTAGGGGGAGGGGGAGGCGTGGACGGATGAATGTGGCCTGAGTGTTCGTTATTTGTCCGAGGCCTGTATGGGCAGACTTTTCATCCCGAGCCCTTGGTTGACCCGAAAGGAAGTCTAGCTGAAAGGGGGTGGTGCAATAGGTTTGGGGCAATTGCATTGCAAATGTATTGCGCCAGAAAGGTGTTTTGCATGGCATTTCAACTAACGCACTGCACGCGAACACCCAGCATTACATTGCGCACCCGAATGTCTTGCACGCCCCAAATCTATGGCAACCCCGCGGATATATTGCACCAAATCTATTGCACCACCCCCTTGTCGCTGGACCGCCTTTTGGGTCAACCAGAGATTCGTCTTGTTTCCCGAGACTAAAAATCGACCAACACTTCAGTCGTGATCTGTGTCGCGGCGAGAGGAGGCCAGGCCCCCCCATCCTGCTGCCGGATAGCTAGCGCCTGCCGTCTCCAGGCCCGCTCGAGCGCGCATGTGGGCCGCCTCCGACGCGCTGCGACGGAAAGACAGAGGAAGCCAGGGCCTGGGGGCCGCGCGGGGCCGACCTTGCCTCTGCTCCCTCCGCTGACCGGGGCTTCGGGGCCCTATACTGTGCGGCAGGGTGGCCAGGGTCTGCGACGTGGCCCTGGGACTCGGCGGCGCCACGAGGGGTGAGCAGCCCACGGGTGAGCGGCGGGCACTGAGCACGCGCACTCGCCCGGGAGCCTCTGTCATCCTTTGCTTCTCTGGGGTGCGTTCTCTGATCCCTGAGCCGGACGGAAGAAACGCGACACCACCACCACCACCGCCAGGGTTGCCATGTCAAGCGAGGATGTCCAAGATGCCTCCCGAGCTGGGGATACGGGGTGTCTCGAACGGGGAGGGGGCTCCAGAGCCGTCTTGGGGCTGATTTGGGTCCCTCTTGAGGCCCCTTGGCTTTTGGGGGGTCCACAGAGTCCCGGCGGCCCGCGCGGGCGCATCTTTGCGAGCCGCTCGGAGGCTTGAATTTTTACCTCCCCAGTTTTCGTGCGCCTTCTATGCTTGACTTTAGAGCTTTAGAGCTCTTTTCCCGCAGCATCGCTTCGCTAGAGGTTTCCATGGTGGCAGAAAGGGGCCACGGGAGAAGGAGGGCCCAACAGGGAGGACTGGGTGCCCGAGAAGGCCGCTGCTGGCAGCCCTACGTGCTCTCATGCCGTCTACATGTTCGGTGCGGACGGCCGCGATCCTTGTATAAAACATGCGCTACGGGGAACATGGTCGCATCATCTCTCTGTCACATGGCTTCGACCCCGTGTGCAAAGCGCACTACGGTGAGCACGGCCCTGGACATGAAGAATTCTGTGGAAGGACAGTACCAGAACACGAAGACCAATGACGACAGGACCAAGCAGGTGGTAGCACTATGATTCAAAGAGCCCTTACCTCCAGAGGACTTGATCCAAAAGTTAGAAGGGCTCTTATCGCGGATTGGGGAGGACAACAGCGGCTTGCACGTCGATGCCTTCACAGCCCCCACGAAGATTGGCATGATTACTTTCCCCACCATCCCAGACAAGGTCAAGTTTTTCAAAAGGGTGCAATCGGTTGGGAAGGCACCGTGGCTGGAGGGATTATTCTTCAAAAACAACCTGGCAAAGGAGGAACATATGGATGATAAACAGCTGGGGTATACAAATTATCATTTGAAGGATAAAGATAAGCACAAACGGGACGAAGTGAAAGTTTGATGGCAAAAACGGATGGTTACTCTAAGTGGTAAGAAAATCGCGCGGCACGATTCGCATGGGCAGTGACACACGACTACCGTGGCCAAGTCAGTGGAGGACGACGTGGGCGCTTCATTAAACATTGTTCGTGCCAAAACCAACCCAGACTCAGACACCGACAGTGATTTGTAGAAAAGCGGGCTCAATGAGCCGGCATACACTGCCATTTCAAGCCGGCGGCGACTATGTAAATGTGATTTTTCTACAGTCTTGTTCTCCAGGTTGCTCGCCTCCCGCAGTATCGGCAGGGAGCGGGGCAGATGCATTGATACCAGGACAGCTACACCAAGGTCAGCCTATTCATCGAGAGCCATGTTTCACCACCTACGGACGTCGAGGCCTGGAGGCTTCATTCGCCAGGCAACGGCCGACGACCTGCGCTAGTTTAATATCCACATGTTCTTCCTTCCGACCTGCACTCAACCACTCCGACTCCGGCTCTGCATCCGACCTCACCCACGCCCTCTCCGATCCCTCTCTGGACTGAGACTTCAGCTTCTTCCTCTTCACCGCACCCAGGACAGTCTGAACAATCTCAGCTTGTTTTTCAATTGGAACATGTTTCGCTGGTTACGGAAACTGGCCATTGCAGATCCGAGGGCAATATTTGCGATGCTGTCCGACGCCAGCGTCCATCCTCCGACCCGGGCCCCCAGTTTGAAATGCCTGGTGCTGGCTTCAACGACGCCAGCTGCTGCCAGAATGACCCCAGCAGCGACGACATGCGTAATGTTCAGCCTAGAGGAGGAGGACGACGAGCTTACAACATCGTCCACAGCGACGTTCCGACGTGCATCTTACGACAGCGGCGTTCGGCATCCGATTGCTGGCTGGCCACTTCCGACGCACAGCATGCTTCCGACTCCGTCTTCTCCGCATCCACCTCACAGCGATCGACTTCGAATTCCCGCGAGCGGCCCCACCTACGAATGCCAATCTTCCACCTCCAATTTTCGACCTCCGCCCACCGAAAGGCAACTTCAACCAATCGACCCCCAACTACCAGCGCCCGACTCCCAGCATCCACCGCTACTCACCTCCAGCCCTCGGTCCCCAACCCACCAACTTGCAACGTCAACCAGTCGACCGACCTCCTACCACCAGATTCCGACTCCCAGCATCCACCTCTCTCCAACCCCAGCCTCCAACCCCAGTACAACCAGTCGACCTCCAAGCATCAGATTCCGACTCCCAGCATCCACCACCATCCACCTCCAGCTTTTGGCACGGATCGGCACGACCACGGGCTGTAACCGCAACACGTGGCGTTGCACCGACGCCGAGGCAACTGGGTGCGACAAGCACCTCGACTAGGACGCACAGGCCAGACTTTGTCACGACGGCTCCGGCTGTCCAGTCCGACTCTGGCTCACCGACTCCAGAACCCTGACAATGCTCTCAGCGCGTTTCCGACCACCTACTGCTGACAGTCATCCAAACAAAAACGCCAGATCTCTAACGAGAGATGCCCGCGTAGAGGAACTCACACAGGAGCTCGACGACAGCCAATGGGACTTCATCCTCATCAACGAAACGTGGCGCACCATCGAGGAGGAGCTGTGGACCACGACCCAGGACCATACGTTTGCCGTGGCTGGAAATACACAGCGAAGCCAAGGAGATGCGATATTGGTCAGTACGCGATGGAACAAATTCGTACGGAATTTCGAAGCTATTTCGCCACGTTTGGCAACGCTTGCAATACAACGTGGGCGATTGAGAATATTAGTTGTCGTCGCTTACTTCCCTCACTCTGGCTATAGGGACCCACACATACAGAACATGTACGATGCCATTCACGAGATTCATCAGACATGTCGAGACACCAAACAGCACATGGCATTAGCAGGTGACTTCGACGCCCAGGTGGGACAGACGAAGACGATAAATCAGGACGGATCGACCAACGATCCCGATGCTGACACCGACGATCGTATTGCGGATGCGACATTTTGGTCGGACTATACGACCGCATGGCTACGGAGACGAGAACTCGAGAGGCACATGGCTCCAACATTGGGCAGCAACCGGAAACCTCCTGCTAGTGAACAGGTTATTTCGGAAGCGTCCGGACAAGCAGATCACATATACCCACAACGACACGCACAAAAACAATTGGATTATGTTCAGGTCAAACGATCTTTGCTCTGATATTGTAGGTATGCGGAAGCCTCTAACGCAGTGGACTTGGGATCCGACCACAAATCTGTAGTCATTACTTTCCGATTACCAGCATCACTCTTTTCCAGAAGAGGAGTTTACAATGAATTGAGTACGGGACGTGCAAAGAAGCGGAAACAACGGATGCCCGCTGAGTGCCATTACGCAACGGACGATGATCACACCCGAGAATTTGCCATCCAGCGAGAACGTCTACAACCACACCTCCTGCCTGAACTCCCCGCGGATCTCTGTGATTACATCGAGGAAGTGATCGTCGACTCTGCGACAGGCTTCACCGACAACGACCCAACACTCAAAGATCACGCCACACCGTCCCACGCCCAAACTGCGCCGAATCATCTACGCAACGACCGGCAAGGGCACTTAACAGAATTGATTCAACGTCGACGGCAGACGCCCAATGCGGACCATGCAGCACGGAGACAGCTGAGCAAAGACATACGCCGGGAGCTACGCCGACAGAAGCGATCAGAAAGAAGAGAACGGATTGGCGCGATTTTGGAGCAATGCAAAGGGATCAACGCAATCAGGAGTACGAAAACCAGGCAGAAGAGGAAAATTATCACACGGATGAAGGATTCCAGCGGGGAGAACAAAACGTCAAGGAAAGATATCGCCAACTTTGCCGAGTTCTACGAGCAACTGTGCAGCTCTACGGACCCATTCCCGCCGTCACCTGCATCGCACGACGAAGTACCGCCCTTCTCCATGACAGAGCTCACCAAGGCCATGTCCGAGCTGAAGAATCAGAAAGCTCAAGATACTAAAGGACTCAAAGCTGAGATGCTGAAGAATGGTTCGGTGGAGCTCAAAAACGCATTTCTATGTCTTTACCAGTCCACAATTCAATCAAACGCTGCACCGCCGGCGGAATGGAAGAAGACGGCAATCAAAGTCAGACCCAAATCAGGGGATTTGCAACAAGCAAAAAACTACAGGCCGATCTGCACCACCCCGCTTTTTTTTAAAAAAAAAAAAAAAAAAAAACAAAAAAAAAAACTTTTCAGCATATTCCTATACAATCGATTGCAGCCTACACTAGACAAGCGGCAAACCGATGACCAAGCAGGCTTCCGACCGGGACGCTCTACGACTGAGCATCTTTTGTCTTCAACATCGCCCTGGAGGGAGCCCGGGAATGGAACCAACCCTTGTGGATAGCAGCGCTCGATTTTCCAAAAGGCGTTCGATTCTATTGAACACGAAAGCCTATGGGTGGACACAGGGTATGTGCACACATTACGACGGCTCTACCACGGACAATCGGCTATAGTGCAGACGGATGTCTCGAGCCGACCATTCAGTATGCTACGGGGCACCAAACAGGGCGACCCACTCAGCTCGTTGCTGTTCAGCTCTGTTCTCGAATGCCTCATGGCCCCGTTGGTCACAAAGTGGCGGGACAAACAACTCGGAGTGCCGCTGGGGCACACCACGGCGTCCAACATGACAAAACTTCGTTTTGCAGAAGATGTGTTTTTGACAAGCCAGTCGCTACCAGGACTCACGGAGATGTTGGGCGATATCAATAGGGTTGCCAAACAACATGTTTTTTTTACACCTGGATAAAACAAAGATAATGTCTAATCTCACCCGACGGGCTGGGAGATGCAGAGGCCCAAATGTGAACATCGGCGGCGTGAAAATTGGGATCCTACCGTGCACCGGGGCGCTCAGCACTTCGGCCAAATGATCAGCTTTAATGAGCCAGCACAGACCGAGGTGAACCACCGTATCAAGTCAGCGTGGGCGACTTTCACAGCAAACCGGCAGAAGCTAACAAGCAAATCTTATCCACTCAAACACCGACTCTTGCTTTTCCAAGGCACCGTCATTCCCATGGTGTTGCATGGTTCAGCTAAGTGGACGCTGTCAGAGACTCTCAAGCAACAGCTGCGCAGGATTGAGAAGAGAATGCTTCGCATGATTGTGGGTGCACCGCGGCGGCGTGTACGACGAGCTCGCCGTATTTCCGACGCCGGCGCTTCTCTCGCAGTTTCGACGGCGGCTCACTTACAATCGAATGCAAGCACGGCCGGCGCAGATCAATCGAGCACAACCGACGACTCTGACATCGACAGCAATCCACCACCACCCGGAGCCCCACGACCAAGCGACGCAGAGAGTGACAGCGACGCAGGCAGTGAGGAGCCTCGAGCCGATTCTATTCGACGGTCGACACATCGTGCAGAACACCGCATACGGCTGCACAACATCAAGGATCGGGTGACATAGCAGCGCCGTTTACACTGGAGGATTGCGGCGCAAGTGGCAGCGCACCCCGTGACAAGACGGACACAACGAGCGGTTCAGTGGCACCCCAGCCACACGGCAAGTAAAGCAGTTTATCGCAAACGCGGTGGTCAACATAAGCGGTGGGACGACGAGATCCGGACGTTTCTTGGCAAACCTGTGTGTGTGACGACGCCATATCGGGTACTCAACACAGAGCGCGCGGCGATATTAACGATACCGCTTGGCTCAACACTGCGAAGCAAAGTGCGACGTGGCAGAGCATGGATATCCAATGCGTAAGAATGCGAAGTGAGAGTACGTGTGCATGGCTTCACATTTTCTGCACGGGCGCGGCCCCACGACCAGCGGGGCCGGGTGGACGCTCGCTCGCTCGCTCGCTGCTCTCACCCGGTGACATGGCCACGATCCCCGGTAAAGGCTCATTACGGTGCGCATGGCCGTTCCCTCACCCTTGTCACACAGCTGTGACCCTTTGTGCAAGGTACGTTGCGGTGCACATGTCCGTGCTATCACCCCTGTCACACGGCCTCGGCCCCGTGCAAGGTAATCGGTACGGTGCGTATGGCCGTGCTCTCTTTCCTGTGACGCGGCCACGATCCCTTGACCCCAAAAAACTACAGTGCACATGGCCGTGCTCTCATCCTTGTCACGCCTAAGAATCCCTGGGAATACAGAAAAACACGTTTTCACCAGCCGACACCCGAGACCCGCTTATGCACCTCTGCTGACATCAGTGTGCGTTGTTGGGGCATTCGTGGTTGCCTTGCTTTTGTAAACGATTTCCGATGTTTGGTTTCGTCGATATGTCATTCATGTTTTTTATCTTCGGAACACGCAGAGCCACTGGATCCCGAGAGCACAAAAGCATCGGGATCGGGTGTGGAGACGGGGAGTAAGAGGGAGGTAGAGGAAGGGAGGACGAGCAGAAGGAAGAGGATGAAGGGGGAGCAGCGGAGGAGGAGAAGGAGGACGAGGAGAAAGGAGGAGGAGAAGTGCAGGGAAGGAGGTCCGGATGAAAAGCGAAGGAGCGTGGAGGAGGGGATGCGGAGGACGAGGGTGAGCCGTGGAAAAGAGCAGGGGGCGAAGGCGGTGAGTAGAGGAGGGGGAGAGGCGAGGATGAGATCAGATGAGGAGGATCAGGAGGAGGAGGAAGGAGGAGGAGGATTAGGAGGAGGAGGAAAAGGAGGAGGAGGAGGAGGAGGAGGAGAGGACCAGGAGGGGGAAGAGGGGACGGGGGGGGGAGGCGGCCTGGACCCCCAAGGTGGCGGGCACGCCTGGATCACCCGCGCCCCCGCTCGGCGCGAGCGTCGACAGCGGCGTCGTGCTCAAGGCCGCCGCCGTCGAGTGGCCTGGACAGACGCCGTTCCTCGACGTCGTCGTCGTCGTCGTCGTCGTCCCTACTTGTTTGTCGCCGCGGGAGAAAAAAAGCAGCGGCGTCGCCCTTGAGGCCGCCCCATGTCGCGCCTCTGCGCGCCGGCGGGGCTCTTGCGCCAGCGGAACTTGTGCCGTGGAGGTGCGACCAGGAGTCGACTCGCAGGAACTGCCCGTGCGGGAACACGTGTTGGCGCGTGGGCCAGAAGTAGATCGACCGCAGCGAATCGCAACCCACTGTGTGTGTGGATCCCTTTGCGGCAAGCCTTTGCGTGTTGAGCCATGAACGTGTGGAGCCCTTAGCGAGTGTACCCGAATGTGTGGGATGCTCTGTCCGTGAATCCTGTTCCCGTGGAGCCCGACGTTGGGAACCTTCTGTGTGGAGCCTTACGTTCGGAATCTTCTGCGTCGAGACCGATGTGCGTGTGCGTGTGCGTGTGCGTGTGCGTGTACGTGTGCGTGTGCGTGTGCGTGTGCGTGTGCGTGTGCGTGTGCGTGTGCGT